TTTAATCATTATAGATTTAAAGTTGAAACATTGATGGCCATCTATCTGACCAATAATTACATTGCATAACATGATATTATCTGTAAAATATATACCTGGTATATATATTTATATTATACCAGCCATTATCCATATAGATATTGTTATATACCTACCTACATACAAGTTTTTTTTAGAATAAAAGTTTACTCAGAATCGGTGCGTATTATAATTGAAACGATTGGAAATTTAAACAGAATTTAGATTTTAATCAGTTTATTTTTAATTTCACAACGTACAATATATACAATCTCTAATAAATAATTTAAAACACATCTATATATATATATTCTGTATACATATTTTAATGAACATTTATTTAAGTTTAGTTCAGGGACATTTGCTGTTCTTGTGAGCTAACAATAATATGTGAGCGGTTTAAACATGTTATTATTGTGAACATTATTGTCTTAAGACGATTAAATCAAATTTAAAAAAATAAAACATTTTAATTAATTCATACAGTCTGATAGCCATCATATGTATAATAGGCACATAACTTACTATAACTAACTGTGCTTTTATATGGGTACCTAATCCGTAAGATATTGCAAGTAATTAAATTATTTGTATTTATTAATAGTAATACACTAATATTAATTACTTTATTTACTAATACACTAGTATATACAACTAAGGGACCTTTGGTAGAGCAATATCCCGTTGTTAGCAAAAAAAGAAAAACAATCATTTAATCGGAGCTAATCTCTATATAGGGTGATTCATTTTGAGTATGACACTCATTACCTCAAAAAATATTAATGTTTTTGAAAATATTTTCTTACATTGTTTCAAGTTGTTAAAAGACAATGTTTTTATTAAAAAAACTATATTTTAAAATATTTTTATCCTTATAATTTTAAGTTTTTAGTTTTTTGAATGACAGCATAGAGTTTTAATTTCATATTCCAAAGCAGAATATTTTTCTAAGTATTTTGATACATACAAATCGAATTTAGGACTAGTACTTTATGAGTTATTAGTATTTCAAGTTTAGATGGGTGGAGTGGAGTGGTATGGGGTTACCCCGCAAAATGATTGTCCACTACTTCGCTGGTCTAAGCTTTAAATACTTATAAAGTTATAACTCATAAACTACTTGTCCTAATTTCGATTTTTATGTATAAAAGTACTTAGAAAAATATTCTGCTTTGGAATATGAAATTAAAACTCTATTCAAAAAACTTATTCAAAAAATAAAAACCTAAAAAAATTATGAGGATAAAATAAATTTTAAAATATAATTTTTTAATAAAAACGTTGTTTTTTTAACAACTTGAAACTGTAAAAAATATTTTCAAAAACATTAATACTTTTTGAGATAATGAGTGTTTTACGCCTAATCAATCACTTTGTATAATTTTACAATTCGTTAGATCCCGTGAACATAGTATAATCTCTAAATAATGATATAAAAAGTTTTAAATAATAATTGAAATATGAAACCGACAGTTATAACTTATAAGTATTGAAATGTGATAACTATTTCAGATGAAACATCCTATAGGTAGTAGGAAAAATGTATAAGTGGGTGGGGGAGCCGAGCGGTCAGAGGGTAGACCCCCTGTATCATCTAATATACCTATCTAAGATGTATTAAGACGGAATTTTCCTTTTTATCAGTCAAGCTGGATATTAAACACGATTTCTCATACCAATCAAACTTTTATCGGTTGCTCGAGATTCCACAGGTTTCACTATGCATAATAATATTACGAAGATAAACTGAAATTAAAATAGACAATTGTTCGTTTTTATTGTTATTCGAGTGTTGTCCGATACCACGGTTATAGATTGCATTTCAGTGCGTTCTACCTAATTAATCGGTAACGTATCCTATAGCCTTTTAAAAACCATCGAAGGTTCTTTAAAAGACGCCTCAATAAATCACTGCGAGTGGGCGGAGGGGCCCTAGAATTGTATTTATCGAAAGTTACGAGTATTGCCTTGTTTTTGTATTTAGATGTCATATTACCTATAATTATACATGTTAATAATAGCAGGTATACGTCTGTTTTCGATAGCTGTACACATTTAAATTTCGCATAGTAGTACTTATTTAAATCAAAAACTCGTATCGGTATGCAAAATAATAATATATTATTATAATGTAAAATACTGTTTATGAATGCGGTCTGCCAGTTTACCTATAGGTACTCGTCGGCGGGAAAGAAATGAAAATGAGTAAAAAAAAAACCCGAAGACCCGGAATATTCAAACTACGTAGGTAGACAGACTTGTGCCTCGCCAGTAGTATAACAGACTGGTAACACGGTAAATACCTGCCTACACCGTCGTACTCGTACTACACTACCACTCGGTAGCATCGCACCTAAGTAAATAAAGATTATAACGACGACGACGACGGCAAACGTATATTTGGCACTATAGGTATGTCACATAATATTATACGTTACCTACATATTATTATTATAATGTAGGAAATGGCGTTTGAATAAATTATATCGTTTTCGTTGTACGTAATTGTATATTAGCAGTTATCACCGCGTGTGATGATAATATAAAATGTTATATATCCCCACCACGGTATTATTATTATTATTATGATGTTATACTCGTATATAGACACATTTAGGCGAAAATATAATAAATAATAATGATGAATAATAATACACAACCGCGAAGGTTAATGCGCTCGATTAATAAGGTACGTGATTCGCGATCGGTCGGCCAACGATGAACCGCGAACATCTAGGGTACCCGTCCCGATAATAATATCGAATATAATTTAATATAAAACAACAATAACGGTATTGACGGATGTACGATGATAATAATATTATCATACTACAAAAACAACAACAAAAACAATTCTATTGAATACATCTATCAATACATATCAATATGTTATATTATAATAGAACAGCACAAGGTGATCCATTAAAGCGTCTACATTCGTTATTTAAAATTTTTTTGAAAATATTTTTTAAGTTTAAATAAGTGGAGTAGAGTGGCACAAGGGTATGCGTACAAAATGTTGGTCAATTGTCTCCGCCCATCTTAACTTTAGTCTTCAAGTACTTATATAATATAACCATTGATTATAAATACTAGTATTACTAGATATAACTAATTAACCACTCTTTCAAAATTCCATTTCTATGTATCTCAAAATACTCCGAAAATATTCTGATTTAACACGTCATGAAATGTGTTGTCATTGAAAAGAGTAAATTATAACAAAAAACAATTATTGTAAAAATAATAATTTTTTTTAAAATAAAGTTGTTTTGCACGGACATCGCTGTTCAAGAATAATATTTTGGAAAAAGTTAAGAATTTTTGAAATAAGGCACTTAATTAATATTGATCACCTTGTATATAGTTCTAAATAATACCTATCTATACCATACGAATCTCGTTACATAATAAAAATACTGCGTCCTCGACCACAGTAGAAAAAAATTCGCTCATTACTTGTCGTGATAATATATTAAACGAATAACAAAACAAAATACCATACCGGTAAATCGATTGGGCAAAACAAAACATCAAATTAAACTTGACAAAACCCACTATCCTCCACTGGCCCAACAACCTTTCGGATAGAATAAAGGAAACGATTAACAACATATTATATTATAATATAGGGTAGGTCAACGAGAACGAGACCGATCCAAACACGTACATTCGCCGAATTTGACGACTACTATTATATACCGGGAACCAAGTAAAAAGTAATTAATAAAAGATATCTCACGACATAGTGTTATTATTTGAAACCCTTGGGCCTGAACTTCCAATATCGAAAACTTATTATCTTTCCTCCAAGAACCTCGTGGAGGACTGTTTAAAGTCGTTTAATATACCTATAGGTAGTATTGCCACGCTGTCCGGTGATCGCCCTTTGATATTTTTTCGATATTGGGAGACCGTAGCCAAATGGTAAAACGTATATTTAATTCAATTAGGTATATGTCGTGAGTGGAACATTTCAAATTTTTTTTGAGCTAATGCCTACGTTTGGTTCAGTGGCGTAATTATTAATTTGGTTTGGGGGGTGATTATACGTTTTAGCAAACATTAATGGTCATTACCAATACTTTGATCAAAATGTTAGCTGCAGTAAAAAAATTTTTGAGGGGATCTATCCCCCTAATCCCCCTTCCCTTAATTACGTCCCTGGTTTGATTCATATTATATATATTATCCAAATACGTTCTTCCGTGTATTCAATAGTTAAATGTGAATGAGTACCATTGTTGTTCATAGTTATAATATTTATGATAACTACTAATTAGTTTTAAAGACAAGTAATAAATTATTTTATTGCAACGTACTAAAAGGCAGTTAAAAATTTGTTAAGTCTGTAGGGTCTTAAGACCCAACCATGAGCCAGACTGACGCTGTTTATCATGTAGGCATAGGTGGTGCCTAAAAATTTCACAATAACAACGAAAAATTTCATCAGCTATCAAAATGTATAAATATTATGAAAAATGTGCCTTTCCCCTTCCAACAAAAATAAATATTATGATGACGATAACCAATATCAATGATTAATGCTAATATTAAATATTGTAATTTATAAAATTTAAACTATAATAATATTATAAGTCGATAATATTATTATAATATGTTACATAAGAACAATATTGTTCTCGAGTACCCTCGAGCGAATCGATAATATTATTATAATACCTATCGATTTGCAATAATTATTAAAAGGTTGTTGAATTCATAAACAGTCGCGTAAACAGCAGATTATGGTATTGTTATGTTTTACTATATGCGATTCGTCGCGTACCTATAACAACATAAGACTTATTAATATATTATTATAATATTATGCCTTGTGAGTTTCATTATATAATACGATAAACAGTAATAATAGTAATTCAACAATCGTGCGGTACATCATCATCGCGTTACATGACGTGCCGCCGCTCGCCCCCGCCGCTGAAGCCTACTCGTCACTGTGGTGCGACGACGTCACGGCGATGACGGCGTTCGGTAACGACGACGATGGCGGCGGCGGCCGATTACTACAACTCTCGTACGTCACCGTGTTGGACGGCGGCACGTTCGGCACCGTTTACCGGGCGGTGTTGTCTGCCGGCGGCGGGACGGCGCGAACGGTGGCCGTCAAGCAGATTCGGTCGCCGGGCGGCGGCCGTCACGAACTGGACGCGCACAGACGGCTCCGGCACCCGAACGTCGTCAGACTGCTGTTCCACTTTTATTCCGGTAACGAAAACAATTTATAGGTACCGTCGTCATGTTCTTACGCACCGTGTGTAGGCATATAGTAGGCCAATTTTCTCGAGGTGGACTTAAAAGTTGAAGGCTCAATATAGATTTTCATCAAAACGAGGCCCAACTCCTCACCCCCACCCCAAACTATATAGTGTCATCGACTTAAAAATACAATATTATCATAATTTTCATAATTTGTATTCAATATTTATTGTACGCCTACTAACTACTTATCCTATCGATATGGCTATATTTGTGGTAATATGGTCTGTTCATCATATTATTCTCTCACCCCGCATTTACTACGGAAAAAACAACAATTCTTGTGGTCCGTAATTATCGCACCCGTTGGAAATACCGTGGGCTGGGCACCACAAAAACAATATTTTAAATTGTATTTTTTCAATGAATTTATCGAGTTCGATTTCAAATTTGTAGAAAATAATGATAATCACTTGGTATTTAATTGATAAGCACTTGATTTGGGGAGACTTAGCAACATTTTGGTGGGCCTAAGCCATCACTACTATTTGCCTCAACATGTGTGACAATAATTTGCTATTGGACACGAGTACACCGGACCATGTACGTAAATTGGCCCATAAGCCCCCTCACCCAAAACAAGAACTCCTTCAAATATTTCCTAATTTAACCCCGTCAGTGTAATAAATTATGTCTCAATACATGTCAATTGATATTTCTAACTCCCCCTAGATTTTTTACCATATTTACCCCTATTATAACTTTAGGGTATATTTATATTAAGTAAAAGGGGAATTGCAAAGCTGTGAATTACTGTAGGAAAGTGCAATTCTATTTGCAAACTTTTAAAATTGAAAACCGCTGCTTCCTCGACAGGAAGTTTGAATTGTGTAAACACCAATTCCACTTTGATACTTACTACGCATTTTTTTTGCCGTTGTAGGTCAATGTTTCCTTTTTTATCATACTTTACAATGTTCTTAACAATCTACATCGATCAAATTTTTTTTATGCACATTTTATGAGATTTTTTTTTAATTTACACGGACTATAAGACGTACACACTCCAAACTTAATAATTTATATATATATGATGTAAATTTGTTGCAAAGTTTTGTTTTTTGGGTCAATTTTTTTCTTTTAATTGTATTTTAAACTGCATTTTTAGGGATTTCAAATTCATCTCTTAAGGTCTTATAATAGTGCATTTAACTCACGGCCCGACTTGTGGGTAACGTGTGTAATGTGTATGGGATCCTATAAGTGAGTTTTTATTGAAAAACGGTCGGCTGTGGGTTTGGTTAAGCTGCAAGGTGAGGGGGAGACGTAACAAAACCTTATAAACATCTCGTCAGAGTTCTACGTACGAATAAACAACTATGACGTCTTAGCGACCTTATCGGACCAACGCCTATCGATTATTATATAAATATTAAATAATGCATAAAAGCATAATATATATACATCGCCGAGATAACCCAATTTTCAATTGACCAACAATAATATATATTATTATATATTCTTTTTCGTATAATTATATTATATAGCTCTTACTAATATTATTAACTATCGCACTTAAAAATTATTAAATACAATATGCACAGATGACAATATAGTTAAATAACGCTAGATTATAGTATTCGATTTGGTGAGTTCAATTTATCTGCAGTTTTTGCTCGCGTTTATCGGCCGTATCCGTTCACCGATTTACATTAAAAAAAAAAGACTGGAACCGATTTTAAGTACCATTTTCGCAACGAGTTATATTAAAGAAGAATAGTCCCGGAGCTGTCGAAACAATCGGTTGTCAGTCTCCTGCACGCAATATATTATATATTAATGAGAGTATGAGACTGACAATCGATGACCAACGGCCAAAATGTCTCGACAGGACAATAGACCTTCAACCAAAATACCACAACACGAAACATATAAAAACGATTTTCGCTGAGTGATCATTATTATTGTTATTATTTTTTTTTTTTTTTTCAAAATCACGAAATATGTTGGGAACGCCAAAATATAAAACTAAATAGTGCAAGTATAACCGGTACAAAAATATAATTTAAAATACCGATGGCGAAAGGGTGTGGGGCCTCCACAGGTTTGAGTGTTCGGTGTACACCCACACAAATATTGGTCTATAGTTGAGCCCGTGGGAGCATTGGACGATGATATGTGTATTATGTTCAATTAACAGCTTACTGCATGATGTTATCATTTAATTATATATAGACATAAACCAGCAAAATATACAACAAATTTATATGACGTACGTCGGACTGACGACTCGCAGAGATTTAGTATAATATTTTCATACGTGTCAACGACTTTAAAGCATATTTTTGTCTTTTCAAAAACCTTGACAAACCGGGCAATCCTCTGTAGTTGCTACTCACTAAGAAGCCAGAGCCTTATTCCGACTAAACAAATTAGTAATTAGTAAATATAATATCAAAAGTATAGTTGTGAAGCTGTTTATAACAATAGTAAAAATTAAATAGATCCATTGAGTATTCGATTATTTCGATTATAATTTATAATATCATACCGTCCCGGCTATTTTATATCGAAAAGACAATACAAGAAAGTAACAGAAAGACTTGAAAAAAAAAACAAATGATGCTACTTAAACTTATGACAATAATCGTTAAAATTATATGATAAGACTTGTCAGTAAAATTCCTAAAAAATTATTTTAAAAAAAATTATTACTTTCCAAATTAATTTAATCAAAAAAATATTGATATTTAAAAAATTCTAAAAAATAAACTACTTGACTTACATTAATGTTTTTACTATCAAAATTGTTCTTATAATCAGATTCAAAAATTGGATATTTTGAATATATCCAAAAAAATTTTAAGCAAATTTTAGTGTTAAAATATGTTAAAGTAAAAATAATTTTTTGTATAATATACTTATGTGTAGAGCAAGTGACTATAAATATTAAATTATATGTATACAAAAAAATTTTTTTTTAATATTGATTAGAACAAAAGTTATTCCAAAAGTCAGTAGAACTGTTCAGTTCTATCTGTTACAACCTGTATATACGAGTACACATATCTACGGTTAGATTACATTACAGAGAAATGTCCCATTGTATGGATTTTTTTTTAAATACTGCAAAAAAAATATATCAAAGTGATATTCTATAACCTATCGTCTACTCTAAATTATGTACCTATTTTATTTTTGTGGTATTTTGGTAGGTATTGTTATTTTTGGTCGAGATTATCCTGTCGCTGGTTGATCGGTAACCACCGACCAAACATCGAGTAACCATCTATTGGTCCTATATACCATACCCATCTTAATATTATTCCATGTCTATGTGTTATGACATGGTATTTATTTATTAATACAATATAACTCTCAGTTCTTGGGAAGCTGCAATACCTATATAGTACCTATATAATATTATATGCAGTGCTCGTTTACAAAACGATCTAAGAAGATATCTAAACACAGATAGGTATATGTTCAGTGTTGTAATATTGCATGTATAGGTATAAGTAATATAAATAACATTTGCCTTGACTTTGAAAATACCTACTAAATAATAATATGTTTGAATTGTGTAATATTGTTATAATAATTGTATGATTCACCAAATACGGACCGAGATCATGACACTGAATGTTTGTGAAGGAATTTATGTAATTTTCAAATTATGTAGCTTAAAAACTGTTAAAACGTGTACATGTAATATAATTACGTGTAGCGAATTGCGTGCTATAACCTTAAATGGAATTACTGTATATTAAGTATTAACCCAATTACTACTAATTCTAAAAAAAAAAAAAAATAGCGATCACGAAGTGTACCTATTACAATATAATACGTAACCTAACCTAACGTAGGATCGATGAACGAAAATCGAAGTACACATAGTTTAAATATTATTCGTTATTATTGGCGATGGCATGTTGACTTCGGATTACTAACGCATACAAAATATGCAGTAAATTGTACTTGAACAATTCGTTTCATTTTGTTATTTTTATAATATTATTACAAAACAGTGTACAAAATGTTTCGAATTTTTATTATTTTTGAAATGCTCTAATATAATATTATTCTTTAGAAATTCATTAAATAATATTACAACTGAATTAATATTCTTAAGAAATTTCTTAACGTAAAATTTGCTACGCGTTATGCGTCAGAAACACGGAGTGAACACACGACACGTCCCAGATTTTCCAGAAGTAAATTCGTTACGTATCGATACGGAGTAATTATTACTAGGGCTAATACTATAAAACCTATACTCGATATCGGTGGTATCGGATTTTTTTTTTTGAAACCGATATTTGAACCGATACCAAAAAACAAAAAAACAACCAAACAATCAGCATAATAGCATTGATTATAAATTTATAAATGTATAATCAATGAAAAATTGCAAAAAATTTGTAGTATCGGGTATCGGTTCTAGCTGACATCGGTTGCCGGTTGGTAGGTATCGGCTATCATTTAATATCGGTTCACGGCATTATGCCGAAAATGTTGGTTTTCATATACATTGGTTATTGATTTTTTATCGGAATATCGGATATCGGTAAAAAGTGGTATCGGCCAATCCCTAGTTATTACGTGTACCTAGTCGTATACCTAGTCGTGTACCGCAGTCAGAGTCCGATAAGGGTTAAAGGGTCTGTACGTTTCGTTGCGTTTCGAACACTCAATATTGAACCGATACGTATCGATATACCCCTAATTTCATCCTCGAAAATCTCGGTCCCCTCGATGACGGCGACACAGTGTATACAGTATTTGACTTGTGCTGTGCAGGGTGGGACGGCACCGCCGGTCGGCTGAACTTGGTAATGGAATTGGCGCCGACCAACTTGGACCACGTGATCCGACGGCTGGCCGCGGCTGGCCTGACTGCGAGCGCGGGCCACGGCAAGCTGTACGCGTACCAGATGTTCAGGGGCTTGGGGTACGTGCATGAGACGGCGGGACTGTGCCACAGGGACGTGAAACCAAGCAACCTGTTGCTGTACCCGGTCACGGGCGTGCTCAAGCTGTGCGACTTTGGCACCGCGAAGGACCTGTTGGACGGCGTGCCGAACACCCGGTACGCTTGTTCCCGCCACTACCGGGCGCCCGAACTGCTGTTCGACCAACCGCCCGACGCTCCCGACTACACCGTCGCTGTGGACGTGTGGAGCGCCGGTTGCGTGTACGCCGAACTCACGGCGGGCACTCCCCTGTACCCGGGCACGAGTGTTCCGCACCAGCGAGCGTTGGTCTCGCGCCCCCCAATGTTCCCGGAATGGGCCGCGGCCGACGCGATCAGGTTGATGGCGGCCACTCTTCAGTTCGACCCGTCCGCCAGGCCGACGGCGGCGGAAGCGTGCGACCACGAGTGTTTCGACGAGCTCAAACGCCCGGGCGGCCACCGCTTGCCGCCGCTGTTCGACGACTACAACGACTACGATGCCGATGACAACTACGACGACTGAGGATATCGCGAGGACGATAACGCGCGTGGGTTATAGATGCGTTTAGTTTACATTAAAAATATTTTCTTTTCACTTCAGTTTTATACATTTTATTACGTCCTTGAAGTTGTCCCTTACATTTTTATTAAAAAAAGTGTAAGGGCCAACTCCACGGTGGTCATTTTATTGTATTTTTTTGTCTAACAAATTCAATTATTTTTCCGACACCGGAAATATTTTTATATTATACTAGCTGATCCCGTGCACTTCGCTGCCCATTAAAAATGCCAACTCTATATGAATAATATGTTTTATTTTATAATATAACGCTGTTACCATAACTACAATTTTAAAACAATGGCAGCCAATAAGTATTATTATAATAACTTTGAAACACACGGCAACTATTTATAAACAAAAATTCAAAAAATCTCAAAATCCTGTTTGAACACCTCCCGGAGTTGGTCCTCCCCCTCTTTAAATTACCCAATCTTCTAGGTCTAACCTATCTCTGTACCAAATGATCCTGTGCACTTCGTTGCTCGGCAACCATGGCAATAATTATTATTATTATAGCTTCAAAACCCATGGTAATCATGGCAACTAAAGGACACACACAAACATTCTATCTCCTGCCGGGGTTGGTTGCCATGGTAATATGGAGACACACACGGACGGAAATCTCAAAATAATATTTAAATGGTTACCATGGCAATATGGACACACAGACATACATTCGTTTTTATATATATAAATAAAAATTATTTAAAATCATAAATTATTAAATCTAAAAACAAAACAAATCCTAGCTTCTCGTGGTGGGTGACTGCCTCCATTCACTGCCCACCCACCCTTGAACACAATACATATTCTAACGACCACATTATTATATTATAATACGAAAATACAAATCGGTTATGAGAATACAATTATAATATTAACAATGACGTAGCGCGTAGAGTGCAACAACTTTTTTATAGACATTTATAGAAGAAAACTAAATAATAATTTAAAATATTATATATCTATAAATAGCTCAAAGAGAATCAAAATATTTTGAAAGTTTTATCAATTATCATGTACGCAAAGTGATTATAGAAACATTCGGTTAGTCTTTTTAGTCACACCAAAAATTTGGCGAGTTTTCGTCACAAACAAACTGGTTTTGCATAAAAATTCCTGTTTTTCCCAGTGATTGAGAAACTGAAAAGAACCAAAAATTTTCGATTTTGACATCTTTAAAGTAAAAACAAGATCCAATTTCATATCTCTATACAGCCACCTTCAAAGTTAAAAATCGAACCATACTTTTCGCGTATACCACAAAAAAATAATTTAAAAAAAAATACACACATCATCCTTGTAAAATCAATACATTCATCGCTATCCTCGTCAGATCTAAAACTACCATGATAATAGTACTGCAGTAGCACCCCCTCAACTCGGATACACCTGGGAGGGGGCCCGGCTTCAACGCACCACTCAATATCGTCATAATATTCTACTTGAGCTCGACACATAACAATATTATATTATATGACTTACCTCAAAGAATTAATGACTGCGACGGTATGTGTAAGAGTGTAAAAGTATGTTCGTTCTGCGTGGACGTCGTCTGTGCAGTAAACTAAACGTTTCAGACCGATTATGTCGGTGAATAAACGGCGTGCAAAGGTGCGAAAAGGGCCTATATATGCATATGCATGCCCGGACATGACGTAAACGGGGAATTTTTCGGAGCTACACCGCGGTTATTATCGCTAAATATTATTTAATTATAATATCGTTTGTTATTAGGTGCTATTATTTAATACAATATATTATTATTACATATTATATTGGCATTGGTTATATTATTGTTATTATAAATATTTTATAACACAATTCGGTAGTCATTATGATAATACATATTATTACCCGTACCTATATTAATATTGTTGTCTGCTTTTGACCGAATCGATGACGCTTTAATCGACAACGCCGCCGAGATATCGCAGAACAAATGCGTCACGAGCGACGTCGAGGTCCTCTACATATTATTAATATCGTATGATTATTGTACCGAGTGTAATAACTAATAACTAATAAGCAATAACTAACATCACTAACAATAATCATTATATTGTTGGCCGGATATTGTGCATGATAATATATTATATATTATTATAAAACGTCGTACGTAGGTATGGACTATATGGGTAACCGTCCAAGGGCGATCTCCCGCAGGTGTACCGGAGAGAACACTCGACTTGACAATAAAACGATAATTCTTAGCACTTCGGAGTGATTAATAATACGTTTAATTTCCGTTTTGAAAACAAAACGTACTATTACAATGGAAGTATATACATTACAGCGAGCATACCCTCGATTTCCTATAACATTAAAAAATAATATCAAAACTTCCGACTGCAGTAGGTAGATACATATTTACATTAAAGTAATAATACCGTCACTATTAATGTTTAAAGAAAAAGAAATTTAGCAGTTTATATTGCTCGATGAACATTGTCTTAATAAGTAGATTATAACTACATTTAAATATGTATGCTTAAGTAGTTTAGTCCTACAACAGGTGGTAGGTGCCAGGTGGTACAGGTATTCGCAAATGGAATTTCAGATTTCTAAATGTTCTTTGATCGTTTTCTATAATGTACAACTCGAGTGTCTTAAAACCTACTTCACTTTCTAATTACCATTATAAGTGATTATTTAAAAATGTTTAAACGTCGAAATATCATCTGATACCATATTCTAGATAAATTATAAATTAAGTTTTAAAAGTATAAAATGATTTTAGTAGTTTACTCAATAATTGTTTTTTATCTCGTTCACCACCGTGATTGCATTATTTTCCTTTACGATTAATATAATTTTAATTAAACTGTTTAGTTTTGTACGATTCGGTCTATCGATATGATACGATGAAATTAAAAAAATGTTAAATGATTGTTATGACTATTTGAAAATATAATGTTAGTTATATCTTACTGACATACATTAAGCAAATAATTTAATAATTAATTAGATTGGCTAATGCGGAAAATAGGTACTCGCTAAGAACAAACCCAGTGAGCAATAATATTAATAGATAATAATCTGTAGGTATATCTCCTAGTAATGATTTAAAAGCACTAATGAGCATTTTAACTCTGATATGACATTATAATATATTCATGTATTACGTATATGGCTACTGGCTAGACGTAAGTATAAATCTTTAAATTAAAATAAAATTGAACTAATAATAAACAATGATAAACAATACATTTTCAATGTTTATAATTATGTATTATGTATTATTTATTGTGATATCTATGATTTTTTTTATTTATATTTATTCAAATCAATATTAGTCACGATTTATAAGTCATTATTACTTTTATAGAAAAATTATAAATTTCATATTTTATCGGGTAAATGAACGTATAATTGAGCAATATTTATTGATATTTATCTAGTAATTATTTAAATATGCTAATTAGCATTTTGATTTTTATCTCCGATATGACATAATTGTATTCCTATATATACTTACATATAAGTCCTTAAATTGAAATAAAATTTAACAATGATAAATAATAATTTATCATACGAATAATGTATTATTATATTATGTATTCATTACGATATTTACAAATGTATTGTAAATACATTTTGTACAAATGTTTTTTTTTTCAAATGATATAATATTATATCGTGTTCAAAATCATAGTGTTAGTCATAGGTGACTAGATTTTTAATTAATAAATAGTTAATGCGCTATAATAAAAAGTCCTTAAATTCAAATAAAATTGAAGTAATAACAATGATAAATAATAATTTTTCGTATTCGTTACAATATTTACGCTTCTTTTTGGACAAATGTTTTTTTTTAAATGATAATATATCCCCTCCCTTCAACTTCAAGGAGTCGAGATTCCTACATCGAATAAGGTAAAATATTTGGGAATTTTACTAGACAAAAGATTGACACGGGGACCGCATTTAAAGTCCAAACGTAAAATCCTTAACAACTGCCTTCATCTACTTAGGTCGATTCTCAAATCTAAACTTTCAATACACACAAGGTCCACATTGTACAAATCTCTACTCAGACCCATTTGGGCTTACGGTATGCAAATCTGGGGGTGTGCCAAACCTTCTCAAGTCCGCACTATCCAAGCTTCCCAGTCCATTATTCTCCGGCTAATAGCCTCGGCCCCTTGGTACGTAACAAATGAAACCCTGCACAAAGATCTAAGAATTTCAACAGTTGAGCAACTAGCTAAATTGTATTATATCAGATTTCACTCTAAACTGCAACACCATCCCAAATCTTTAGTCACTCACCTAGCATCACGTACTATTCCTGACCACCCAACTCAAAAGAAATTGGTGCCTTGACCTATTAAATTAATTAATAAAAATAATAAATTACTGGAGGGTACTATCGTTGGATGATTTCCCTCATCAAGTGCTTCGTGTGTTTTATATGTATGTATATAGTATTATGTCAGTTATCATATTTACTTATTGTGCAACACTGCAAATTGTACAGATTGTAAATTTTCTTATAAAAAAAAAATGATAATATTATATCGTGCTCAAAATCATAGTATTAGTACATAGGTGACTTTCGATTTTTAATTAATAAATAATTATAAACATTCTATTTGGTGGATTAAGTTTAAAGTTCATATTTTGTAGATACCTTATTATTGATAATCTATTTTTAGATCACATCAATATATACACTTGTTGAAACGTATTCCGGTATTCGTACTTGTTGCTTTATTAATTATCATTCATATAATATTATAATGTGCTATAATAACGAGATACACATATTGTACTCGTTGTTAAAAAGCTTCAGCTTATCAAACTCTATAATTAGACGCCGTGTAGTCGTCTCCTATTAAAACCAAAAAAAAAAAATGAAGAAGATCCGATTACCATAATTATTAACGAATATCTCGGAGAATCACTTAAAAAATACAATACAAGCGACGTGTACGGCGCGTCGTTCTCGCATTATATTA